GCTTTGTAGCGAGCAATAGAGCCATCGGGATGACGTTTAATACGAAAAACCCACTTGCATGGAATAGGCGTTTGATGAGTACGGGGAACAAGCTCCCAGGTATCATTATGCTGAAGAGCCTGAAATTCGGCGTCCATAGCATTTTTCCAGTGAGGGTCTTTGAGCGCTTGTCTCACACTGGTTGGTTCAAGGGACGGGGGAGTGGGATGGACGGTGGTAAGATTAAGATAAGCACCCCCAAAGTATTTGGGATTAAGGCGTTTAGCACGTACAGGGCGGGAGGTGTCAGTATGGCGAGGGGGGATGCATGGGATGATGTGGGTGAAGAGGATGGTGTGGGTGGGGAGGAAGGCGTGGAAGATGGGGAAGGGCTAGGTGATGAGGTGGTATGGATGGAAAAGTCAGGAAGGGAGTTGGAATTTGGGTGGGGAGAAGTTTCGGTGGAGGCAGTAGAATTAATAGGGGGAGGTGAGTTGGCAGATGAGGGTGAACTAGGAGGGATATGTGGAATAAACAAGGTGGATGGTGTGGGAGACATAAGTACCGAGGGAGGAGAACACATAGACTCTGAATTTGGCACCGGTGACACACAAGAAGATATAGATGACCGAAAAGGAAAAACATGAGGTACAAAACGAACATGACGGGACAAATATATACGACCAGTAGATGAGTCAAGGCACTTGTAGGCAGACTGAGTAAGAGAGTATACTAAAAATACACACGGTATAGACCGAGGATGAATTTTGGTTGGGGCATAAGGACGTAACCATGGGTAACATAAACAACCAAAAGGTTGAAGTTTGGCATAGTTGGGAGTGGTGCGGAGTAGGCGAAAATATGGGGTATCATACTGGAGAACGCGAGTGGGAAGACGATTTATGAGGTAGACGGCAGTATGGAATGCAAATGACCAATATGATAACGGTAAACCGGCATAATGAAGTAGAGACAAACCAGTATCAACAATATGACGATGTTTCCGTTCAGCGGTACCATTATGTTCAGGAGTATGTGGGGGAGTGGTGAAATGAGAAATTCCCAAACGTTGAAATAAAGGAATTAATTTGGTAAACTCTCCCCCATTATCCGAAAATACAGATATAATGGGATACCCAAAAAACTTTTCAACCAGATTGCGAAATTGAACAAATATGGCAAATACATCTGATTTATGAGAAATAGGGTATAACCACGTATAACGAGTAAAATGATCAACAAATATAACATAATATTTGTGACCATCGACTGAACTAGTTTGAGTGCCCCAAACATCTGTATAAATTAATTCCAATGGAGAGTGACTAGTCATGGAATTATTAAAAAAAAGGCAACTTGATGCTTTTATTAATAGCACAAGAATTACAATGAAATGTTGAGATATCATTACAATTAAGGGCAATCTTATTATGACGTAAAATAGAAACTAATACTGGAAGAGATGGATGACCCAAAAGATGATGCCAGTCTTTGAGGGAGACGACACTTGAGACATTGGCTTGAGGTGACGAACTAGGTGCATGATAGACATCATTTGTGTTCTCCCCTCGCATTAGGCACGCCCCCGTGTTGAGATCCTTAACAAGAAAATGATAAGGAAAAAATTCAACAGAAACACGGTTAGTCTGACATAATTTAGCAACAGAAACAAGGTTTTTATGAAGGCGAGGGACACAAAGAATGTTAGATAAGGTGAGGGGCTGGGTAGAGGTCGGGAGGATGGTTTTACCAATGTGAGAAATATTCAAAGACTTACCATCACCGAGATGAACACTATCGGGACCACCATATTCTGAGAATGACTGAAGGAATGAAGGCTCCGACGTCATGTGATGAGAGGCACCGGTGTCAAAGAGCCAGGATTGAGGCGCAGACGAGGAGCCAGCAGTAGAAACATTAGCTGACGGAGCAGACGGCTGAGCATTTGGAACATTATTATCATGAAGAAAACGTTGGAGTTTGCGACAACGTTTTGCATCATGACCTGGGATGTCACAAAACCGACAGACTATAAAGTAGCCACGACCACGGCCAGAAGCAGATTCATAGCTTGGAGGACCAGCATAGGAACGATCAGAAGAAGCAGACTGATGAGACCCGCGACCACGGCCACTGCGGCCACCACGAGAACCAGTCGGAAAACGATCATTGTGCACAGACTGAGTGTTACGATGAGTATAATTGGCTGTAGCAATAACCACTTGTTGGGCAGTTTCAAGTTCTTTAAGCTGACGTTACTGATCAAGAAGAATGCCCCGAAGTTCAGAAAGAGGCATTTTTTCAGAACGAACACGAATAGCTGTTGCGATGTCTTTGTAGTCTTCGCCAAGACCATTGATGATGTTGGCGAGAAGTTCTTCATCAGGAACAGGGCTTTGAGCCAGAGCAAGAGAATCAGCAATGGCCTGCATTGCCTTGAGATAGTCCTCAATAGAACGACCTGCACGTTTGGTTTGAGAAAACTGGGATTTGAGAGACACTACACGTCCGCATGAAATACTGGCATAGCTCTCTGTGAGACGCTCAGCTCCCAGGCCTTGCGGGAGGTTGTTGCATATGCAATGAGAGGCTGGATACTTTCGGAGCAGCTTCCAAGAAGGGCGCTGATGATGGTATGATCTTGACGATACCATATGGAGTAACATGGAGTAACAAGGCGTTTAGCCTCATCAGTATGAGTCGAAGGAACCGGAATGGATCCATCAAGATACCCAATAAGATCAAGACCGATGAGAGCAGATTCAATTTGACGGCGCCAAACTGGGAAATTGATATCCATTAATTTGATAGGAAAGTGAGTACTGGCCGTAATGGTGATGACCTGGGTATTGGCGTCGATGACCATGATAGAAGCCGGAAAAAAAAAATCTATTTAGAGGATCGATGCTCGTGATACCATATAAGAAGTGAGATGATGGAATAATTTGATATCATTAACCATACGTATGGAATTACATTTATAGTTACAGAGAGCAAGCTATACAAGTAGTCTAGCTATACAAGGAGTCTAATGAGATAATAACAAGAGTAATAAAAGGATAATTACGAGAGAATAAGGAGATAATTACAAGGGAAAATATGATAATAATTATTGTTTAATACCCCCCACCATAAATCAACATTGTCTCCCTTACAAACAGAGTATCTATTTGAAGTGAAAGTAATACACTTGGTACAAATGAGATGTGAATTAAAAGTAGTACCCATTAAAAAATTCTGATTATTTTTAGACCCCATCTTCTCAATATGTCTCCAAAAACAACAAAATATGTTCGAACACTAACATATGTCGTTCAACTTTATGAGCCTAATATTTGGTTTCAAAAAGGGCATCAGATCATCTAAAGCCACTTTAAAAAAAAGCCCTTCCATTCCTCTTCTATTCAACTATGAACTAACCATTTATTTTATTTCGTTATTCGATTCTCCCCCATAGCCATTTTTATGTATTCAAGTGTATATATATAGGAACAATGATTGATTATAGTACCCATGTTCATTAGCGTTTTGTACTCTTCTTCTTTTTAATAAAGTTTTTCATTTTCAAAAAAAAAAATATAGGAACAATGATTGATTATAAGTTTATAACCAAATAGGAACAATGATTGATTACAAAAAATTAGGCAGCCAGGCAGAAGTAGAAATTACATAATCACAGCATACTTGAGATAATTGTCCGTGATTATACATACCCATGACAAATAGAAAATATGATTTTTATGGAAATATTAGTTGTAGAGGAAAATCATCAAAAAAGTATGGAGAAAAAAATTCGAAAAAGAAGTAGGGTGGAAACTTACCTGGGAGGGAGATGTTCTTGGCGAGGTGGTCGAGAAGAAGAGAAGCGAGAAAACCCTTATGGGAGAAAGTAACGTGAAATCTTGGGGGGAGCACGAGAGAATTGATTGAGATGAGTATTTATACGAGTAGGTCTCAAATCTATCGAAATCCATTATTTTGTAAATCCATGAGATTTGTTAATATTTTGAATACACCTGGATTTTAATGGACTTTTAAATGTCCATATTCAATACACCCGGATTTCTAATGTCCATGGACTTCTAATATTTTGCCATCTAATCCCAATACAAACACCCCCTCAGTATAAATGCAAACTTGGTTGTTTACCCACTAAACACCACCTTTGTCTTTGATGAAGGAAACCACTTTTTTCTTGGCAAAAGGGCTCAACTTTAGTGTCTTTCATCAGTAGTTTGAATTTTTTTTTACATTTACTTTAAAAAGTAATTATTATGTTGTTGTGTATTGGTGTACCAAACACACAATCAAATTTGGGAATGAAAAAGGTTTGGTTGGAAGTCAATTTGTAGGAGAATAAAATAAAAAGGGACTTCGAGATCCGAAAAATTTGAGTATAATAGTTAAGAGCTTGCCTGTCCTAAAATTACAACACTAGTGTCGAACCAGAAGAAAGGTAATGAAGACGTAAGGAAGTACTTCTTAATTTTTTTTAACTAAAGCAAGAAAGTTTGATTTTATTTTTGAATTTCCTTTTTGTTGTTGTTGGTGATGCAACGGTACAACAAGATGTGAAGAACTGGCCATTTACTGTCATAGCTGGGCCTGATGGCAGCAAATGTCATAGCCGTCACTTACATGGGTGAAGAGAAGCAATTTGCTCCAGAGGAGATATCTTCAATGATTCTTCAAAAGATGAAGAGTATTGCAGAGTCTTATATAGGCAAGAAAGTCAAGAATGCCGTCATCACAGTTCCTGCCTACTTCAGTGATGTCCAGCACCAAGCAATAAAAGATACCGGTCTCAGACAATGGCAACAAAAGAGAATTTATAACACGGAAAAAGTTGAGATATACGTCCTATTGCAAAACAGACACCCAAACAAGACTCGGTATTGAAAATTTAGAGTTCATTTTACTTCAGAAGTATTTTTGAATTCCAGTCTTGGGCAATTAACAAGCATTAAAACTAAGCTTGTTAATTAACAAGCAATTAACAAACATTAAAACTAAGCGAAGTCCCAAAGTACAACACGTTTATGAGCAAAATCTCATCTTCAGACAATGGCATTTGCTGCGCTAGCAATTCTGGGCCACAAATCAGCACACTCTTTACCTATTGGACCAGTGATTGCAGAACCTAAGCCAACAAGAAAGCATCACAAATCAGCTATTTAGGGTGGGAATGTAAAGTCATACAAATACATTAAGAGAATTATTTAACTAGCATTGCATACCTTTCATTTCACCCTTGGGATTTACTATGACACCAGCATTATCTGTTAAAGGATTAATAAAAAACTACATTAGTAATGTCAGAACTGCATCCAACTTTTATTTGATAAAGAGAAAACAACTTCAAAGAAGAGAGCACAGAATGACATTAGCTAATTAAAATCTTAGCTAGTGCTTACTGGGGGCTTTAAATATTGATGGGGAAGAGTAGGTATGATCCCATTGTTCATGACTAATATTAAACTCATAGAAAGTCTTCTTCACCCATTAAAGATTAAAATAATGTAACTGTGGATGGCACTTTATATCAAAATGTAGTGCACTAGAACCGTACAGCAACTATTGACAACATCCAAATTTGGAACTATTAGGTTTTGTTGATGTTTGGTCTCTATGGAGCAGGAGTCCTGTAACGAAAGACAATATCTTTATACCGGACTAGTAACTGCACTAACCACAAATAAGGTTACTACCTGACTAAGTCTGGAAGCACCCATCCTCTTAAATAGAAGAGGATGTAGCTATGAGTAACACGATTTATTGCTAGTACGCAACATTTGATGTCCAACTAATCTCAAGTGACAATAGCATTCATTCTTTCACACTTGAAATAATTGATTGAAGAAATTATAGTAGGTGTATATATTACATATAATCTGCTACACCAGATTATACACTTATAACAAACTAGGTACTATTAATGTTTGGTCTTATGGAACAGAAGTGTGGATGAAAATTATCAGCACTCCTGTAACGAAAGACAATTTTTATATCCCAGGCTAGTAACCGCATGAACCATTAGTTTGGTTAATACCTGACAAAGTCTGGATATCTGTCCAGACAAGTAAAAAGATTATTTAACCATGAGCAACACATTGTGGTTACTCAGTGTAATAAAAAAATATTTCCCAATCTTCTGCAGGTAATAAGGTGATCAGATCAAGACAACACACCAAGGTGCACCAAGGTGTAGGTGAAGATCGGTAGTTCAACTTTAGCTGGTCATGGGAGGTATTGAGATACTTCAGAATGAACTCTCTCAACACTACATTACCAGCAAAATCACTACGAAACAATGAAGACTGATTGAAGAATGGGTGGAAAGTTGTTCAAAATTCATACAGAGCTCGCTAGATCCAGAAGCAATTATGGTGATCTATGGTCTGTATTACAACCCGCCATGATGATTTCTAATTATATACGGTATGTATTACCCAGAATGCAATCTATAAATCATATAAATAGTGCAACAAGCGATCTTACTAGTGATAAATTTTATAATCAACAGTCAAACCTGCCAAAATTTTAAACATTTGCAGAATAAATGCTAAACCACAACCTAACCACCAGCTAAAACTCAAAATGCTGTCACACGAGAAGCGGGAGAGAAGAAGAAAATAAAGAGATGAGGAATAACCTTCGAAGTACATGAAAACTCCATCCTTTCGGCGAAAAGGCTTTCTCTGACGAACAATGACAGCAGGCATGACCTTCTTCCGGAGATCAGGCTTCCCCTTCTTCACAGTAGCCATCACCATATCACCCACACAAGCCGACGGAAGCCGATTAAGGCGACCCTTGATGCCCTTGACGGATATAATGTAGAGGTTTTTAGCCCCAGTGTTATCGGCGCAGTTGACCGTCGCTGCCACCGGCAAACCCAGCGACATACGGAACTTGTTCCCGGCCGATCCTCCGCGCCCTTCATAATCGAACAACAGTTAGATGAGTTTATGCACAAAATCGATCAATTATGAGAATTTGATACGCAAAACTAAACAAACCTCGCTTAGACATTTTGAGCTTGGGAAAATGGGAACAATGGGTTGGAGTATATGCTTCAATATAAAGACAGGGCTAGGGTTTCGTTTCTTAGCTTATGAACTTCCGGATCCTTTTAAGCCTTTTAGAGGGTGGACTGAAAATATTGGGCATTGGGGTGGTCCAGGCCCACCTCATCTTGCATGTGGGATGGGTCCGCCTCGTCTCACCTGTGTCATTATGGGTGGGTTCGGTTTCGGCGGTTCAGTTTTGACCTAAAACCAAATGTAGAATCAAACTAAAAACTTCGGTTCGGTTCGGTTTGTTCATATTTTTTTGCCCAACCACGGTTGAATCGTTTCGATTTTGTTCGGTTCGACTTCAATTTTTTCGGTTTTAAACCAAAAGACACATACTTTCTGAACAAAGAAATGACGAACAAAATAACCAAAGTGCAGGAAAATAAAACACAAGTACTGAAGAAAGTTAATCACTGTCTTACAATTTAAATAAAGTGCACTAAACATTAGTGCATGACACTTAAAAGTGCAGTAAACTTGGATATAGTGCAACAAAATAAAATGCAGTCCCAACTGAAATGAAAATAAAATCCAGTCCCAACTACAATAAAAATAAAATGCACTCCAAAATTAAAATGCAAAAAGCAAATGTATTAAACTGGAATGATGAACACTCTCATCCACAAAAATATTAGGACCTGTTTACTAACAGAGATATTTTCCAGTTTTCCATAAAACTGGAAAACTGGAAAAGAGAAAACAGGAAACGTGTTTACCAAAGAAATTCCAGGAAAACTGGAGAAAGGAAAAAAACAAAACGCGTTTACCAAATCGTTTTCCAAAACGGAAAAAATGAGACATGTCTCTCTTTTTCTTAATGATTTGGAGAAGTGACTTTTACTAGTTTTCCAAATTTGGAAACGCATATACTACAGTGCCGCTGCAATGAATTTGCATTCTTACACCTAGTGGTGGGTCTGGTCCCGCTCCGATGTCGATTCCGTTCCGGTACCTCCATTCTCGTACCTTACCCCTTACCCCTGCCCTACCCTACCCTACCTTACCCACCCTACCCCATCGCCATCCTACCCCCCACCCTCGTACCGCCATCCTACCCCCACCCTTCCGCCATCCGACCACCATCCTACCCCCCACCTTACCCTTCCCCTACCTCGGCCCCACCTAGACCTCGGGGCCACCCTATCGCCATCCTATCCCACTACCCCTACCTTACCCCAACCTCAACCCTACCCACTACCCCCACCCTTACCGCCATCCTACCCCCCACCCCCTACCCCTTCCCTATCGCAGCCCCACCCTGGTTTCGGCCCCACCCTACCGCCATCATATCCCAACTCCGTACCCTACCTCTACCTTACCCCAAACCCTACCCACTACCCCACCCTTACCCCTAACCACGACCCTAACCCACCAACTACCCCCTACCATAGACCTTATCACCCCACACCGACCATACCCCTTACCCCACCCTCACCCATAACTTCCCTACCCCGACCCCTACGAGTAAGTATGGGTGGGTATGAAGGGTTGTGGGGGAGTATGGGTAGAGTGTAAGATCGTGGTAAGGGTAGGGGTCAAGGGTGTGGAATTGGAGAACTGAGTGAAAAAATTGATGAACATGTTTTCAGATTTGAAAATGGAAATGATGGAGTATATGGCCCAGGAACCCCCGGCCCGTAGACTCCTACTTCTCCTACACAAGTCCATTGAGCTCAGGAAACAACTCAGGCCCAAATACCGCGGCCCAAGCCTCAAAGCAGCCCAGAATACACACTGGGGTGCCTTCGGCCTCCTTGGCCGAAGGCTCCAAAACTCACAGGATAGCCTTCTCTGGCATAAGAAGCTACCGGAAGAAAACGGACAAAAAGATGAGCCTTCGGCATTCTCATGCCCTCGGCACCAGGGGAAGCCCTCGGCTACACAAGGAGCCCTCGGCTACACAAGAAGCCTTCGGCTACACAAGAAGCCTTCGGCTACACAAGAAGCCCTCGGCTACGCAAGGAGCCTTCGGCTACACAAGGAGCCCTCGGCAACACAAGGTGCCTTCGGCTGAACAAGCTCAATCATCGAAGATTCCTTATAGAGACAGCCAACCACCGCATTTAATGCCACGTCGCATCCACCAACCGCATTCAATGCGGTTGACGTACCACTGCCGGTGCCACCAGGCTGATGTGACCCTTCGGCCGTTGGATTACTGACACGTGTCCTCTCATCGCATTTATTGCTGCTATAAATAGCAGCCCATTTCTCCTTGTAACGGACAGGATCTACATCTCAACTCCACATCTCGAGTTCATTTAATAAAATCGACTCTCTCTCCTCCTATTTTCTCTGACTTCTCTCTAAGTTATTCCCGTAATAACCCCTCGGATAAGATACCCCCCGGGTAGACTATCCATCATATGGTGCTCTCGTTGAGAGATTGAACACAATCAAGTGAGAAAACCTCCCCAAAATACAAAAAATCATCCCAATCAACCAAAAACTCTACCAAAATCACAAAAATCCAGTCAAGATCTTTCTGAAAATGCAAGAAATTGTTCTGGAAAATCCATATCTTGGGTATTCCCGGCCAGATCTGAACTGACCGGTCAACCGGAGCAGCTCCCAGTGAGTGATAGAACATGTCCAGCCTTGTTCCGCTACTAGCAGTTCCTTCCTCCTCTAGCGTGGAATTGCTTCCTCTTACTGCTATTCGTTAACCTGCCTCCGTCACAGCGCCCTCACCACCTGTAGCCCTCTCAAGCTTCATCACCAATATCCGCCATTAATGGCCGGTTGAAGCTCCTGGGGGTAACGACGCAGGACCGTCGCTTTGCAGCTTCCATCGAAGCACGCTGGAACTCACAAAGTGCGTTTGCATCTCCGACCGCCACTCCGCCGTCCTCGTCTGCGACGCCTCCTACCGCGGCTACTCCTGCTCAGACCCCTCCAGTCACCGCGTCTCCACCGTCCCCTGGCATCGCTTCTTCTCCCACCACGGTCGCGAGCCAGCAACGTCCATGTGTGAAGAACAGCAGTGCGTGACAGCGGAAATGGCCAGAGGATTGACCTTCGCACTTCACTCCTCCGGCGGCAGCAAAGGCAGAGCGCATCCCCAGCTCTTTGGATTTCATCAACGCCAGCAAAATCAGTGGATAGCATCACCTCTCCTTTCTGTCGGTAGCAGTTGCCACTTGCCAAGATACCTCCACCCTGGCTTGTCTGTGTCGTTCGCAGAAGCCAGAAGGGTGCAGTGTATATGCTTCAGTTGACCGAGTCAACTTTTAAATGTGCTGGGGAGTTTTCGGCCAAGCTTTGAGCAGCGGGCCAAGGCTACACTCCAAAGCTGAGGATGGGCCACAATTTTAACAACACTTCAAATTCAGCCCACTACAAAAAAAAGATAAGTACTCTTTAATTATATTATTATATATATTTATTTAAATGATTTATTTTGTCGGGTAAGTTTCACACTATCGAAGCAGACTCATCAACCGAAGGGTCACTCTATGGGAGACAAATCTCAGAATTTCACCAGGTCCATAATCTCGAACCCCTCGGCAACCATATGTACCGGGGGCTCAGAGCAGTTCCCATACCGGAAGGTTAACTACAACTACTATTGGAATATTGTGGAAATTTGACTAAGTCCACAATTGGAGACCCTTCGGGAGAAAACAGGGATGCCCTCTTCACTTACAGGGTTGCGGCCGATGGCCCCCCAAACTACTTGGCAATAGCCAAAATCTACACTACTAAACAAAGGATCCCAAGCTTCCCGAAGGCATTAGAGGCAACTTCACTTGGGAAATTTCCTAAATCTAATTCACCTTAGCCCTCGGTGAATTTGCTACAACCCGGAAGCAGTCCCAATGGTTCATCACCGGAGACATGCGATGGAATTTTACTTAGGAAATTTTACTAAGTCCACAATCACGAGCCTCCGGTGATTCTACAACACGGCCGAAGGGTCCTGGTCTGGTCTCACTTAGAAAAATTTCTAAGTCCACAACTACAAGCCCCCAGCAAACCTATACTATAACCGAAGGCTAGTTGACAAAAGTTCTCATTTAGAAGATTTTTCTAAGTCCACAAATTTGTGGCCTCCGGGAAAGCAAACATTCACTCAAGAAAGGAAAATCACTCATATGCAAATACAAAAAAAAGCGAGAGCATTCATTCAAAGACGAAGGCATACAATGAAACAGGACCGAAAACATCCATTGAGAAATAGCCCGAAGGCAAACTCTTCATCACCAAAGATTAATGTGCTAAGTACAGAAGATGTTTGTTTACAAAACATGGCCGAGGCCTACCACCTACAATCTATCACAGATTTCGACTTGGGAGAATTCCTAGGTTCGGACATCTTCTGCAACGTTCCCCTTGGGTTTGGAGGTGGCATCATCCCCGGCCTCCTCCTCGGCATCTCCGGCCTCCATTAGCAGCTCAGAATCCTCGAGGTCTGGCCTCTCTTCGTCCGGGGGGAGGGGTACCCTGACATCCGGCTGCAGAGGGGGTAGGCCGTAGGATGCGGGGTCAAACTCTTTCGCCTCGATCTTCAGGTGGCGGGCTAGCCTTCGGTACACGAGGCGTTGAGTAAAGAACTCTCCGCCATCGTAGTAGTCTTTACCCTTCCGGGCCAACCATTCAGCCCCGGGGCCCGCCACCCAACCGTCCACAGATTGCTCAATGACCGAGGCTAGCCATTGCTTCCGGCCCTCGGCCTTCCAGCCCTCGGTGACGAAGGAATCCACTGCAGCCTTCCCAGCCTCGGCAATAGCCTCCTTCTTTGCCACCTCGGCAGCTTCGGCGGCGAGCTTGGCGGCAGCACTCGCAGCTTCCTCGGCAGTGGTTTTACCCTTTGCCTCCGCCTCCTTCAGCCTCTGCTCCATACCTTCCTCTGCCGCCCGGAGGGCTGCCTCCATCTCCGTCATCTTCTTCCGGAAGGAGGCATTCTCCTCAACCGCCTTCTTCAAGGCGAGGTCAGCTTGCGCCTTCTGCACACGCAATCTGTCCACCCTCCGGAGTT